AACAAATCTAAAATATATATGAAAATCTAACACTAAAAGAAAAGATTTGTACAGAAATGGTGTGCAATTAGGCCTGGCAAACCGGTCGTTTCTGTCGTGTTCGTGTTGTTTTCGTGTAACAACTGTTATCTTAACAGGTCGTATCATGTCACACCCGTTATCTTAACGGGTCATTAACAGGTCGGATCACTTTACCCAACAGGTAAAGTGACCCGACCTGTTATGACCCGTTAAGAAAAATGTTTTTTTTTTTCTTAAATTTGCACATACCACACATTGCCACATAAATATTACTTCAAAACATTAAAACACATTTGTCGTTTAAGTACTACATCTACACTTGAAAATAAGAGCCTAATAAACAAACATCCATACACTACTAATCTATTACAAAATATTAAATGTGCAAGGATATGCAAAATGAAAAAGTTTTTGTTTTCAAGGTTGTGAAGCCTTTCTCAAAAGTTTAAACCTTGCCAATGGAACTCAAAGCTTGCATGTTATTCCTTTTACAAAATCCTCAATTTTCATCGATCATCATGACATAAGATTTTGTGGTATCAATAGTGTAAATATTTTAAATTGAAGATCGAATTCAACTCTGAATGTTTGGTTTTTGCGATTTTTGGCGTATGCGATCTTGAAGCATATACAAACAAGTTTGACGGTTGGATCATTGAAATTATTTTCATAGAATGCGTATCCCATCAAAACGATAGATTCACTAACACTTGGAGTTTATTTATACTTTAATTAAGTATAACATAAGATTTTGTGGTATCTACTAGGGTAAATATTTTAAATTGAAGATCAAATTCATTCATTCTATTCATATAGGGTCAAGGACTGTAGTTGTAAAAACTCATCAAAATCGGAGTTAAAATAACCGTTAAATCGTGATTTTTCGTTGATAACCGTCGAAAAGTTTTGTCCCATATCTTGATCTTTGAATGTTTGTTTTTTGAAATTTTTGGCGTATGCGATCTCAAAGTATATACAAACATGTTTGACGGTTGGATTGTTGAAACTAGTTTCATAAAATGCGTATCCCATCAAAATAATAGATTCACTAACACTTAAGAATTTATTCATACTTTCATTAAGCATAACATAAGATTTTGTGGTATCCACTTGTGTAAATATTTTAAATTGAAGATCGAGTTTAGTCATTGTATTTGTATAGGGTCAAGGAGTGTAACTGTAAAAAAATCATCAAAATCGGAGTTAAAATAACCGTTAAATCGTGATTTTTCATTAATAACCGTCGAAAAGTTTTGTCCCTTTACTTGATCTCTGAATGTTTCTTTTTTGCGATTTTTAGCATATACGATATTGACGCATATACAAACAACTTTGATGGTTGGATCGTTGAAATTAATTTTGTAGAATGTGTATCCCATCAAAATGATAGATTCACTAACACTTAGAGTTTATTTATACTTTCATTAAGTATAACATAAGATTTTATAGTATCCACTAGTGTAAATATTTTAAATTGAAGATCGAATTCATTCATTGTATTCACATAGGGTCAAGGAGTGTGGCTGTAAAAAATCATCAAAATCGGAGTTAAAATATCCGTTAAATCATGATTTTTCAATGATAACCGTCGAAAACTTTTGTCCCGTTACTTGATATCTGAATGTTTGCTTTTTTTCAATTTTTGGTTTATGTGATCTCGAAGTATATACAAACATGTTTGACGGTTGGATCGTTGAAATTAGTTTCGTAGAATGTGTATCCCATTAAAATAATAAATTCACTAACACTTAAAAGTTTATTCATACTTTCATTAAGTATAATATAAGATTTTGTGGTATCCACTTGTGTAAATATTTTAAATTGAAGATCAAGTTCATTCATGATATTCATATAGGGTCAAGGAGTGTAGCTATAAAAAATCATCAAAATCGGAGTTAAAATAACCGTTAAATCGTGATTTTTCGTTGATAACCGTCGAAACGTTTTGTTCCGTTACTTGATCTCTGAATGTTTGTTTTTTGAAATTTTTGGCGTATGCAATCTCGAAGCATATACAAACATGTTTGACGGTTGGATTGTTGAAACTAGTTTCGTAGAATGCGTATCCTATCAAAACAATAGATTCACTAACACTTAGAGTTTATTTATACTTTATTAAGCATAACATAAGATTTTGTAGTATCCACTTGTGTAAATATTTTAAATTGAAGATCGAATTCATTCATTGTATTCATATAGGGTCAAGGAGTGTATTTGTAAAAAATCATCAAAATCGGAGTTAAATTGTGATTTTTCGTTGATAACCATCGAAATGTTTTGGCCCATTACTTGATCTCTGAATGTTTGTTTTTTGAAATTTTTGACGTATACGATCTCGAAGCATATACAAACATGTTTGACGGTTGGATCGTTGAAACTAGTTTCATAGAATACGTATCCTATCAAAACAATAGATTCACTAACACTTAGATTTTATTTATACTTTTATTAAGTATAACATAAGATTTTGTAGTATCCACTAGTGTAAATATTTTAAATTGAAGATCGAGTTCATTCATTATATTCATATAGGGTCAAGGAGTGTAACTGTAAAAAATCATCAAAATTGGAGTTAAAATAACCGTTAAATCGTGATTTTTCGTTTATAACCGTGGAAAAATTTTGTCCCGTTACTTGATCTTTGAATATTTGTTTTTTGTGATTTTTTGTTGATGTGATCTCGAAACATATACAAACAATTTTAACGGTTATGATCATTGAAATTAGTTTCGGAGAATTTGTATCCCATCAAAACGATAGATTGACTAACACTTAGAGTTTATTTATACTTTCATTAAGTATAATATAAGATTTTGTGGTATCCACTAGTGTAAATATTTTAAATTAAAGATCAAATTCATACATTGTATTCATATAGGGTCAAGGAGTGTAGTTGTAAAAAATCATCAAAATCGGAGTTAAAATAACCATTAAATCGTGATTTTTCGTTTATAACCGTCGAAAAGCTTTGTCCTGTTACTTGATATCTGAATATTTGTTTTTTGTGATTTTTTTGTAGATGTGATCTCGAAGCATATACAAACAAGTTTGACCGTTGGGATCGTTGAAATTAGTTTCGGATAATTCGTATCCCATCAAAACGATAGATTGACTAACACTTAAAGTTTATTTATATTTTCATTAAGTATAACATAAGATTTTGTGGTATTCACTTGTGTAAATATTTTAAATTGAAGATCGAATTTATTCATTGTATTCATATAGGGTCAAGGAGTGTAACTGTAAAAAATCATCAAAATCGGAGTTCAAATAACCGTTAAATCGTGATTTTTCGTTTATAACCGTCGAAAAACTTTGTCCCGTTACTTGATCTCTGAATGTTTGTTTTTTGTGATTTTTTGCTGATGTGATCTCAAAGCATATACAAACAAGTTTGACGGTTGGGATCGTTGAAATTAGTTTCGGAGAATTCGTATCCCATCAAGTTCAATGGTGTGTGTGTATATATATATATTTATTAAGTAGATTTAAATCTATTTATTTTGTACATATAATTGATTGGTATACAGAGTAGTACATCACGTGAGTCATTATAAAAATAGTGAGATATGTCATATATGTGATAAAAAGTTAATAACTTAAAAAAAAAAGAAAAAAAAAATCTCACCACTTCTATTAATTTTCATTTTTCCCTCTTTTTTTTGTTTCCTTTTCAACTTTTCTTATAATTTTCACTTTTCCCTTTGACAGCCTACGGTGCCTACCCATCTTTCCCTAATTCCCTCTCTTTTTTGTTTCCTTTTCAACTTTTTTTATCACTTTCATTTTCCCTCCATTTTTCTTCAAAAAGGGCGGCACTGCAGGAATTGGAATGAAATTATCAATTATGGAATCAAATCAATGAATGCATATTAATTAATAATTATTATAGTTTTTATAAAATTTAATTCAAAATTTAATATATATACATATATATATAATTATTATAGATAGTTAATATTTTGGGGGTATAATTATTATAGTAAATTTAATATATATATATATATTATAGTTTTTAGGGGTATAAAATTGTTAAATTAATATATATAATTATTACAGTATTTTTTTAGGGTTATAAAATTATAAAAATAATATTCTGCTTATCGTGTATCGTGTTACCCACGTGTATACCCGAATCAATCCGTTATCTTAACAGGTGCTTATCGGGTTACCCGATAACGACCCGATTCGTTATCGTGTCGACCCGAACACCTGTTAATTTCGTGTCGTGTCGTGTCGGGTTATCGGGTCGTGTCAGGAATTGCCAGGCTATGTGCAATGGCACAACCCACAATTCATATATCCCAAGTCGGCACCGAAAAGAGTTTATGAATACAAATATTTAAATTGTAAATTAAATATGCGTAATCCACACCGTTTGTTCGTGTCCCAATTGTGAAGCCCACCAATAATTAACTTCGGTGAATGACAAGTTATAAATGCCACACACTCCCATCAGTATGGAAAGAAGGGTGTCCTGTAGCATGTTTTCTTGTAGTGTTGGCATCGAATTCGCTATTCACGAGATTCAAACCTTTAACCTTTCACTTACAAGTGAAGAGGAATACCACCAGATCGTAGTACTGAATGGTAGCAATATTCATTGTTGGACTTGCTTTTTGCGCAAGTTTGGCTAGGAACCCCAATTTCAAAGGAATATACTCTCGAAATATCTAAACATCAATAAAAACTTAACCAAACTCCAAAAATTTATAAATCTATTAAAATTTCCTAAAAATCAAATTAAAAAATGCATAAACGAGACAAATTTGAGACAAGCTGTACGAACTCGACTTATATATCAAGCGGATCTACAGCCCATGCAAACAAAACAAACACGTGAGACAAATATTTTGCATGTCCCTAAACCCAAACGGCATCTAATTGAAAGAAAATGTTATTAAAACGCATTAAACATTAATCAATAATAGGAGAGATTCATCTCCTTCCCGATCCCCAGTTCCAGAAAAACATCACCCAATTGTCCAAAGTCCCATAATCCCACGACTAAAAATAATCCAATGACACAGGATAATCCCACCCAACTCCCTCAAGTCCTGCTTCTTTTCCCAAATCCCTGCTTCACAGTCCTGGAGTCCAAAGCCTCTCACAAGTTCCACTTCCTCAAAGCCTGGGACTCCCCTCTCCCTCAGGCCCAGTTCCTCCAGTCCCACGCTAACTCCACCCAGGTCCTCCTCTCCTCCGCCCTCGGACCCCCCATCACCGCCCAGCTCCTCCAATTACTTCCATCCTTGAAGCTCCTAATCACCCTCAGCGCAGGCCTCAACCACGTTGACTTTTCCGCGTGTCTGGCACGCGGCGTGCGCATTGCCAATTCCTCTCCAATCTTCGCTGCCGATGTCGCTGACATGGCTGTAGGGTTGTTTCTGGATGTCATGAGGAAGATTTCGGCCGCTAATCGGTTTGTCCGGGATGGGTTTTGGGTTAGCCGAGGAGATTTTGTTCTTGGTACTAAGGTCATAAATTCTTAGCTTACTTGCAGTTGTTTTGTGTATGTGAATTTAATCGATAAAATTTTTTTAGTGCTCCGGAACATTAGATACTTCGAGCATTTCAAACTATAGAAGCGCACTTTTTATTTGTTTGTTGGTGATGTGATGTGAAAATTAAAGATTGTCATTGTCAAAATACAGATTTTGATTGATTGGTTTTTATTTGCTTTTAATTCTTCTACGTTACATCAGCGTACGTGATGCTCCAGTTTTATCAACCGCTACAGCTGCTAGACTGAAATATTTAGATTAGAGCACGCAAATTCCACTCTCCATTGAAGCAATGAATCCTATTTAGTATTTACCGGTGCATTCTAGAAATTTTTTTTTTGGTGGGGAGCCTGAAATTGAATTTGGTTCTCCTCTCCTTGTCATGTCAAATCATTGGTTTGTAATATAGTGGGAGCTATATTACAAATGAACAAAGTTTGGAGGATAAGGAATTTTCGCACAAATGGGAGCAGTTCTTTAGAACTTTATAATTCTGTTATGTATTGAAATTTGGAACTTTATAATTCTGCTCTTTATTGAAGCAGTGAATCCTATACACCGGTGCATTCTAGAATTTTTTTGGTCGAGAGCTTGAAATTGAATTTAATTCTTCTCTCCTTATCATGTCAAATCATTGGTTGTAATATAGTGGGCCCGATTCTAACTTGTGTAGAGTCTTGAATTAAGGTCAAGGATTGTTACAATCTACAGATTCTCGAAAACAAATTAATAGAGTTCGGAGGAGCAGTTCTTTAGAACTTTATAATTATGTTATATATTGAAATTTGCATATAGATACTTCAATTATGAATCTATCTTCTTCTCTTTTTCTTTGTGGTAGCGATTTAAAGTGGTTTTGATGACTGGAAATTTCAGGTAGGAGGGAAGCGAGTTGGTATAGTTGGATTGGGACATATTGGCTTAGAAGTTGCTAAAAGACTTGAGGCATTTGACTGCAAAATCTTGTACAACTCAAGGAAGGGAAAACCTTCTGTTTCTTACCCTTTCTATTCCGATGTTTGTGAACTTGCGGCTAACAGCGATGCTCTTGTCATTTGCTGCGCGTTGACTGCTCAAACCCGCCACATGATTAACAAGAACGTCTTGTTGGCGTTGGGAAGAGAGGGAGTGATTGTTAATGTAGGGCGTGGAGCTATTATCGATGAGAAGGAAATGGTCCAGTGTTTGGTGCAAGGAGAGATCAAAGGTGCAGGCTTGGATGTGTTTGAGAATGAGCCTGAAGTTCCGAAAGAGCTGTTTGGTCTAGATAATGTTGTTTTGTCGCCGCATAAAGCTGTCTTGACAGCAGACTGTTTCACGGATTTGACTGATCTAGCAATGGCGAATTTGGAGGCATTCTTCTCAAATAAACCTTTGCTTTCCGAAGTGGTGAATTATTGAATAGCTTTCTGTTCGCAGGTTAGTCCTTTCATAATTTTGTGTGCCAACTTGCTTGCAATCCATTTGTTTTTTTTGGCTACTAAGTTGGTACGAACACTTTTCTGAGCGGATGCAGGGTACAAATAGTTGATACAATGAATAAGGCAACGAGAGAAGAGGAGGAGGAAGAAGTGTCATATTGCTATTTGTATTTGTTTGCGGAGTTATATGATTTGCAACGAATAAGGCGACAAGATAATGATGACGGATTGATTGTTAGATTCTCAATCTGATTTCATGCCTTGTGAACGTTGGAAAATTTAAATTTTAATTTATTATAATATGAAATTTATTAATTGAATAGAAATTAGAAGTGGTGTCTTTTGATAGAAAGATGTGTGTATTCAAATGAAGAGTTGCAACTTTTGACTCTTCATGAATAGTCACATGCTTTCCAAAGTGGTATCTCAACTTCTATTAATAGGGAAGCCCCGTGATTCATGAAGCCTTGTGATTTGGAGTGCTATTGTTACAAGGACATGGTTATTGTATATTAGGAGACAAACGCCTATCAACCATGAGCACCATAGTAGGACATAAACTTGTCTTAAGGATGAAGTGTCTAACACTTGTATCATCCGAATTTTCAGGTTTTTCTAATCCATTATGTCATGTTCATTTAACATTGGTTACTCATGTGCATGCATTAATTATTATATATAATTGCATGAATTATTTCTTAATTTTCAATGTGATTTAATGTAGCAAATAGACTCTAATTTTTCCAACAATCTTAGGAAAAGTTTTGGTTTGGTTGCTATAATTTTGTCATCAATTCCGAATTGGCATTACATAAGTGTTAATTCATAGTTGCTGCTTGTTTTGCATGATTGCATGCTTGGGTTTTTCATGTTAGTTTTGACTGTTAATTTAGTAAGTGCATGATCAGTTTGTAGACAACATATTTTGTATTCATACATGTATTGTTTCGAAGAACATGTCAACTATATATGTGTTATTTTTGTATTTTTACATATGCTTAATGTCGTATACGCAAAGTGATTCATAAATTCATAGTAAAGGTAAAACAGTGAAAAAAAAAAAAGTTGTTGGAAACAGAATTCCAAACCAAACGGTTAATTTGCACATAGTTTCGCATGCATGTTTGTCCTCTCTCTCTGAAACAATGATATATTTGAATAATCGATTGCAATCTTTCCATGTTAATATATGAAAAGGTGGGACAACTGTTATGAAAGTCTTTATTTGGGAAGTTTCTGTTCCTTGGAAGGCTTGTGAAATCAGTCTGATATATTGCTTCAAAATTTGGAAAATAGCTCAGCCGCATAAGTGCGGTTGGGAAACCTGCACCGATTTCTGCAAGTTTTTGGTTTTCCAGAAAAGTTTGCTCGTCATAATTGCAGACCAAAAGATATTTCTAAGAAAAATGAAGGACATCGTGGAAATGTCAAAGTCTGAGTAACTCTTTACGAAGGGTTGTCGCCGTTGGCGGGTTCATTGTGTTTCTTGGATAATAACTATTCAGATCAAAGTTATGACATAAATTTGATGCGCGAGTGCCTGGGAACGATCTTTAAATTTCGGGACAGTACATTACCACTATGTATGTTTGCTAACACCAGACACGGCTACCCTCTGAATGGACTTCCTCCATTTGCGGTGGCAGCATATCGAAATTTTGGCCAAAGTAAAGACTTGGATTGATCATTGGCCATATGTGAAATCAAGGGCCAAAGATATGATTGGAAGGCCAAACCATGTCTGTAAGTCACTTGGGATAATTAGATTTCACGAGGATGATGGAGGAGACTTTAGTCTCCTGAATGTGTTTTGTTCAACTACTAATAGTTAAATGTGACAACAAAAATGAGTTTTGCTCATGGATATAACCAAAGGAAATTCCTTTGAGAGGAATCACTGAAAGTGTGGGGGTGTTGGGTATACTAATCAAGATGTGGCTTCACTATATTATTGTTGTCTTTTATGCACCTTTTTAGCGTAAAGTTGCAATTAATTATCAGATTAACCATGTCTCCTACGCACCATTTCACTTGGAAAAGGTACTATGGCGATAGGGTATCCATTTTGGATAACCGCAGAAGATTCGTTTGAGTTCGATCATGTCTCAAGGCATGTGCAGATTGTGCAGACACCAACAATTATATAGTTGGTAAAGAGAAGATGCCTATTCTCCTTTCGCCATAAGGCGTTGCAGGGCATTAGAAAGAACATTTGCAGACCGTAACCTTGTTGCATTATAAAATATGCAGACTACATCTTGAGACAAAAAAATAGAATAAATTACATAAAACTACTTCAACTATTGGGCCAGTCATAGTTTCATACCCTATCTTTAAAACATTTCAATGACATACTTGATCTTACGAATTTGTTACAATTTCATACATTCCGTCATTTTGTCTGTCAATTCTTCTGTTAATAGTAACGTGGCTTGAGATAGGGTCAGGCCCACTCTCTATTAAAAAAATTTATTAAATATTAAAAACTAAAAAAATAAAATCATTTAATTTTTTTTTTTGGCATGGGGGACCCACCCCTTATCCCCCTCACCCTTTCTTCCCCATCCACCCGTGTCCCCCCAACCTTCTTTCAACGCCAAAACCAGAACCCCCCCCCCCCACCGCCCTCTCTTCCTCCATCCATCTCCACCTTCATCCCATGGCGCTCCTCCTCCTCCCCCTCCCCTTCCCCCTCCCCCTCCTCCTACACAGCCATCACCCTCACCAAATTAATCCCTATAACCAATTTCAAACAAAATACCCCAGTGCCACCCAAACCCTAATCCTAAATTTCGAATTCGCCTATTTTTGGAGAAAGCTTCGGGCTTTGCTCAAGGGTTTGTGGGTTTTGGCTCAGGGGACGAGAGGCAACTGTGATTGGGTTCTGGGGTCGAATGAGAGAGGGTTCAATCGGGTTTTTCTGGATTTTGGTTTGGGGTTTGGGAGAGGAAGTGGGGAGCAGCGTTGACGTGCATCGGGGGTAGGGGGGTTGGGGGAGCAACGGCAGAATCGGCCAAAAGAAAAGAGAAGAATGGGGAGAGAATCGGCGGAATCGATCACTTGTAAAAAAAAATTCTGGGATTTTTTTGTTTCAAAATTTGTTTGTTTCTGGGGAGAGAAGAGAAAAGTGGGGGAGTGGGATGAGTGGCCAGGGAGGGTTGGGGGGGGGGGAGATGTTGGCGCAGGTGTAAATCAAAGAACCAAGAAACGCTCCACAATATCTGGATTCTTCTTCTTATTATGAACGTTTTAAATCACTTGTTGCTTCTTGTCCACAGCATCAAATGAAGGAGGAGCTGCTCATTCAATACTTCTACGAAGGACTCCTTCCCATGGAACGCCAAATGCTTGATGCCTCGGCGGGAGGTGCGTTGGTGGATAAAACTCCGGGGGCTGCAAAAGTTCTAATTGCCAACCGAGCACATAATGCACAACAATACGAAGGTGTTGGACAAAGAGACCCCCCACGGCCACAAGTGAATGAGGTAAGTTCTATGCCCGAAATTCAATCCCAATTAGCTAACCTTACTTCTATTGTTTCTCAGTTGGCCGAGGGAATCAAGATTCATGGACCAAGTGTGTGTGGCGTGTGCTCTATGCAAGGACATGCCAATGATCAATGCCCTAAATTAATTGAGAATGGGGGTTGGGAATCCGCCAATGCCATAGGTTATCAAGGCCAAAATCAGCAAAGAAATGATCCATACTCAAATACATACAATCCGGGTTGAAGAGACCACCCAAATTTCAGATGGAGAGATGCACAACAACCTGCCCAACAAAGTGGATTCCGACAACCCCCGGGTTTCTATCAAAAGCCGTTGGCACCACCACAAGCCCAAGCACAACCTGCCCAAAGCAATGTAGGTAATTCAAGTAATAATGATAAGATTTTTCAATTACTTACTACTTTGACGCAGGAAGTCCAAACTCAAAACAAAGAGAGGCAAATCCAAGACAAGAGGGTGGACAATTTGGAGAAGCAAATGGGTCAAATTGCCGAATTTATGGGGCAAATTAGAGAACAAGGCAGATTGCCTAGTTCAACCGTTATGAACCCAAAGGGAGGATTTGAAACTGCTAAAGCCATCATGTTGAGAAGTGGTACACAGGTTGGAACAAACTCAAATACATCCAAATCAAGTCAAGACGAGGAGGACAAGCTGCTGCAAGAAGAAGCACAAGGAGCAAAGCCCACGGCCAAGGATGACCAAACCTTGCCGAATTCATCTAGTCCTCCTAAACCGTCCCAAACCACCAAGGTAAGTCCCAATTCGACTTTTTCTAGTTCTATTCCACTAAATGTGCCCTTTCCTGGCAGGTTTAGGCAATCAAAGAAGGAAGAAGCTGAGAAGGACATTCTAGAGGCCTTTCGGAAAGTTCAAGTCAATATCCCGCTCCTTGATGCGATTAAGCAAGTCCCGAGGTATGCTAAGTTTTTATCCTTAGTTTTAGTTCAATGCTTATGTTAATTTGGTTTTCCATTATGATGAACATGTGGAACTAATTTCTTTTTAGTTAGAGGTGAATTCAAAGCCATGATTATATGTTTTATATGAATTGATTACATCCAGATATTGTTTCTTGAGTCTTCAATGTGATTTGCTTATCTAAATTATCAAAACTTGTTTATGTGTGTTGGTTGAGGGTCGACACTTAATTTGCATGCATGAATTTGATGCTAGAGTATAAGGGAGTTTCACGTAATAGTTATTGATAGGAGCATATTCATGCGACTTAAATGGCTTGTTCTCGTGCATTTACGTTATGTTTCTTTAGTTATTTTAGTCCTTTATGCTTCTTTTGTGTGTTTTCAGGTTCTAAGGGCAAGGTATGCAAAAGGATGCCTTTTGGAGCCTTTTGGAGCAAATTAGAGATTGGAATGGATATCATATGCTTGGAGCCAAGAGGATGGACGAAATTAAAGACTTAAAGTAGGAAAGTTAAATCCTAAAAGACCTCATGTTTAAGCATCATTGAAGACTTCTACGCATTTTAGAACACAAAAACAACATTCCTTGCAACCTTAGGACATTGTCGTGTGTTTCCTTGTGTCTCCCTTCCTTGCCATGCAAGGAAGGGCTTTGTTCCCTATTTTTAAACACTTAAAGCATTCACTTATCATATCATTCACTTATCAAACCATTCACTTATCACTTCCATTCACTTATCACTCACCACATATCATTCATTTATCACTTAACATATCATTCATTTATCACCACATATCATTCACTTATCACTTATCATACTCATAATCATCTACACATTTCAACCATTTAAACATATGCATTTCAACTCACATGCACACC